CCGTATTTAGGACAAAAAGTAAATTTTAATGCGAAAAATTTTTTCCACCGACAAAGCTTCAGTCATCGCTATGCGACGTTCCATTCTACGATACGCTGGTTTAAACATTGTTTAAAACTAGGTTACTCCTGCAGATTCGGGTCTACCTGAGCTACTGATGTGGAGCATAAGTTTTATTTACCTAAAAGAAGCTCCTCACTGTGTGCAATTTTGAGAGTGTGAAATTGATTTGGCAATTCAATAATATGTACACGCATTTGAAACCTGACAAAAACTTAGGATAAATAATAAAAAATCAAACACTACCTTCACAAATCACAAAAAAACGGCGTAATCTCGGATATATTGGACGCATATGCATATATTACGAGAAATGAATCGGTACACTTAAATAGTAAGAAAGATCGATAAGCGTTAGTGCCTACGGACGCGAACAAACCTTATTTGTTTAAGAATAGGGTGAAAATACATTTGTGTATACGCGTGCGTGTTAGTGAAATCGCGGAATTAAAAAGTCCCTTGAGATTGTAAGCAAAGCACATTTTTCTGAATTAGCTTCCGCTTAAGTTCTCACCAGATTCTAAGAACATGAGCGTTACTTTCTAAAGGGTATTTTATCTGAAATAAATCATTTAGCTACACTTAGTAATTGTTTTTAATTATATATTCTTACATTAGCCGCGGCATTCTTATCTTATCTATATAATTATCATTACTAATTTGTGTGTTTGTTGATTCTACTATCCCGCAACAACGCATCAAGGGATTAATGTGGTATTTCCATAGAAATATTTCATAAATCATAGGTCTAAGCGTCGATGATAATGATGCAGGTTATTTTCATTCTTAAGTTAAGCTGTGCAATGTCTGCTAGTATTCCGCCTTTTTTAATGTCTCATTGCTGGGCACGGACCTCCTTTCAATACCAGTGGAATTAGGCCACAGTCCATCACACTGACCAAGTACGGGTTGGCGGACTTCACTTGTCTTCCAAAAACTTGCCAGGTTCTCTCAGACATGCAGGTTTCCTCACAATGTTTTCCTTCACAATAAGGCAAGTGGTAATCATATTAGTAATGATTCGCACATAAAAATATTATAGGCGCGAGACCCGGGATTTGAACTTGCTTCACTTGGTTTCCCAAGTGAGCGTGTTACCACTGGGCTATCCCTGCCTATATGTCTATCTCTATTTCACCAATAATATTTTCCATAAAACTAACTTCGTGATTGAAATATTTCTTCCTTCTTCACATTTCGTGCCACAAAACTTTCTACCACTGGTTCTTAAACATATCAATTTGATTACATTTCCCTACAGCCGACAAACGGCAAACTTCTTCCATAAAACAATTAGTCTAGACGCAAAGTTTTGGTCTTCTTAAACTCTTAAGGTTCCGTCGCCATATTACAAAGGCACTTAAAATTTAAATTTCGTTGCTTTAACGATGATCGTTGCTCTATCCTCTTTGATTATTCGAAGGGTTATAAGATGGTTCTGAGGAAACATTCGCAAATTTACCTAAAGACGATCTTTTGGAGTTATTTTTCGATTCTTTTTTGACAGATTTTATAAAAATGGAGATATTCTATTAGGATTCGCCAATTGTTCACTGAATTCCATGTTTGTTATTCAAAAGAATCGACTAAATCCATACAGAGGTGAATGTATTTCAAGATAAAATTGTAAAGGTGAAATAATTTTTAAGTAATTTTGAAGTCTTTGTACTTTTTTAAAAAAAACTATAACTCTAGGTTCATTAATTTTATCACAGGCAGTGGAAGCCCAGTGATGACGTGCTCGCTTGGAAAACCGAGTGAAGCGGGTTCAAATCCCAGTTCTCACATCTCTGATATTTTCAAGTGCGAATCATTTTAGAAAAAAAAAACATTGCGAGGACTGAGGAAATCTGCCTGTCTGAGAGAATCTAGTCATATTTCGAAAGACATGTGAAGACCGACAACACGCATGTGTACTACTGATCCTCCTTGTATTGAAGGCCTCCCTTCTCCTTGTGCGCAGCAGTGGGACGTTAAGTGGGAAGTATACAAACATTTTATCACATATCATGCAATAAAAGTTGACTCAAATATAATTAACCATGGTCTGAGTCAAGCTATAGCTTTTTTTTCATTAAGTCGGTAGAATAGATCCAAAGACAAAAGTTTGATATTGCCGTTCTTTGCGTCTCTTATCAAAGGGAGGTCATAGTGGACGAGAGACTAGTGCTCTTGGTCTAATTAAAAAGATAAAGTACTCATTATTGTACACCATTATTCTCATCCAGGATATCTAACAAATAAAAAATGCCATGAGTGGCGGAAATATACAATAGACGGTCTTGTCGCCATGTAGGGAATATGCAAAACTTTAATGAAAAACAAAAAATAAAACTGTAGAAATTACGATAACCACCTATTAACGATTTTTGGCAAAACAAAATATTAATTAAGTAAATTATAAGTTTAAAATAAAACACTAATTCACTTACGTTAATTAAAATAACATGCGTCGAATTAAATATTTGTATCTAAAAATATTTAAAAAATATATCTGTGTATGTAAAAACGTGATATTTATATTTGAAATAGAATTCCAGAGCGAGTAGAGGGCTCTTCGGACGAGTGCTTTACGTTTCATGAAAACGCGAATGTCTTTTGCTGGCATTTTCAATTTGAATGCTTCTAACTAGTCCCATTCATGTAGTCTAAACTTGAACCTTTTTGGAGATGAAGCTTTTGATTGAGCTTTTTGCTTAATAGCGGATACGTTGATTTTTTAATAAAAAGATTTTATAAGGAACATTGCATAAGTTAATAATTAAGTTTATATTATCTGACTATTTCATCGATCATAACTGATCATATCTCCGCAAGCAGCAGGTTAAGACCGATGTAATTATTTTATTAATGATATAGATTCGTCCCAGTTACTCTAATAAAAAAGGCCAAATTCTTTATTTTTGCCCTAATTACATAAGTATTTTCACGCTGTATCCCTTGAGGAGTTTACAGTTTAGTTAGAGCATTCTTATTTTCTTATAAAGAAGAATTCTGTGATTAAGAACCATCACCTACACGAAGTCAGAGTTCCGTCGGAGAACTTAAAACGGGAAAGAATGTACATCAAGAAGAGTATAGAACCTAGCACCGAAATTTGGGAGTTAAGACTTGAATACTTTTCCTTTTCTGTTTTATCGTAGGAAAAATACAACATATTTAGTAAACTTATTAAAAATAATAGCAATATAATAATGAAACTTTTATTTAATATGAATCGACTTAAATATCGATAAGGTTTCAAAGAACTTACTATCCATCCTGCAAACAAACTATAATGCATAATATAAGCTATCGGCATAACAGCATCAAGTATATTAAAAATAAACTAAGTATTTCCGTGTACAAACAACTTCCCCCGTATAAGATATACGAGGAAAACTTTTTATTTTAAAACTTAGAATAAAATTCTAAAATTTCTAAAACGTTTACGGCAAACATCTGACTTGTAAAAAACGTAGAATACTCGTAGTGAAGAGCACCTAACGGAGCTGAGTGTGGACGCCACTTAGCCTTTGTTCCAAGTCATTTCGAGAGCACAATTTACTTCTGTGATGAAATAATTTTTCGATTTTTTAAATTATATTCTCTTACTATAAATACTGCTGGGATCCAAAGAGGATTCTTTATAGCGCGGAAAATAGCAGATTCGATATTCAGTAGAGGTTCATATGCTGAACGTGCTATTGTTTATCTTGTCCAGTTAGAATAAGCGTGCTACTGGGCATATCATTGTCAGGTTTATACTAGCTTTACCCCCTGAGTTTTTGAACGCGAATTATATCGAAAAATATTAAATATATTTGTTTGAATGAAAATAAGATTTAATGTTAGAATTAATCATGATGTCCATCATCTAAAATTCTAAATTTTAGAAAAGAACAGACCTCTCTTCCTTATAAAGACATCGCGTAATCGTTGTTCCTTAATATTATAATAATTTTATTCAGTTGGTTATGAGGCTTTACTAGCATAATTTCCGCCGTTTTATTCGAGGATGAAATAATAAAACGTGTATTTACATACACGACTCATTGTGCTCCTTGGAAGAATATTTGACTGGCGAAATGGCGGCATGTCTGGTCTGTATGGCATTGCCAAATATGCCAATGTTCGCGTAGTCTTAACAGGCAAAAAAATATATCGAAGAAGGAATTATTTGACTGTTCGTAAAAGCAAAATAATTTTAAACATCACGAATTAACATACGAATTATCTTTTCAAACCTGAATAAATACTCCTTGAAAAGTTAGTTTTTCTTTAGATACGTGAATAAATCGTTATTACTAAAAGACATATGGACGAAATATTAGTCCCTTTGAAAAACTCATTAGCACTACGTACATATAAGTATGTGAACATATTGTAATTCTACATATGTATGTACTTCCCTTTGTCTCATTTAGCAGTCTGATTTAATTAATGTCATGATATATTATACTACTACTACATTTAATTTTGAAAGCCTATTTAACTTCACTTATACTCGTAATTTAGCCACAATACATACATGCGAATTTACTTTTAATTAATCAAAAACTCTGAAAAAAACATTATTTTCACTTCAAAAAAAGAATTTTTATATTTAACTTCGGAAAAGGATTTAAGGAAGAACGCCTAGTATTTTCGATTTTTTTTATTTTTAATAATAAAATAACATTAAAATCAACTGAAAACTGAATATTATTAGTCGACGGAATCAGGCGTATGACAGAGAACTTATCACCGATAAGGAAATTAGATTAGATATAAAACAATCTACTGAACGTACAAGTAAATCCCAAATGATCAAGTTCAATGTCATCTAAGCATTCCATTAATTTAGGAAAATGTATGAATAATTATATATTAATGGTTAGATACTATAATGCAGAGAGACAAAGGCGGCAGTGACACCCATTTTCTGTCAGAAAATTGGAAAATTACAACAAAGGACTAACCTGCTTTACTATCAATCTTGCTACCCGAGGACTGGCAAACGTTACAAAACCGTAGCATTTTGATACACCTGCTCTGTCGTAGATGACCCTCGCAGCGGTGACAGTCGCAAAGCCCGAGAAGAACTTCCAAAGATCTTCATCAGTAGTGGTCAAGGAGAAACCCCCCACAAAAATCCTATTATGAATGACGGTGCCGAATTTTGGTGCATCAGACGGCGGGAGAGTATCGTCTGTGTCGTCTTCAGGGGAATTGAGTAAGGCCTTCAACTTCTCATGTGGATCAGCACTCTTTCTATTGTTCGCGGTGTTCTCTTCCACCATGTGAGCACAGCTCGCCGATTCGCTACGTATATACCGTTTCACACTAGCTTCCATGATTTTGTCTTTGTTTAATTGAACATGTTCCCTTGTTTACTACACTAAAAAAAACTCTAGCGATAACTAAACGGGCACTAATTCACTCGACACAGCGTGTACTGCCTCGTAGTCGAATATTGATTTTGACGGTAGTACGTTATAGGTAGATGTCATGAGTTGCGCGGTACCTCGCGTTCCAACTGACGTTTTTAGTTTGATACCCAAAGAAAGAATTTATAAGATAAGGGTGTGTGTTTTATATTTTAATGATACGCACTATAAATAGTGTTTGAGCTATTGTCGACTGCTATTTTTACTGGTCGAGGCAAGTAGGTCATCAGATCTCGGTTAGATGGGTTCTTATCTTGGCGTTTATTTGATGTTCGCTGATAGCAGATGGCGTTGCTTGCTATGGGTTAAATATTTTTTGTATTTCACTTTCTTAATATGGTATATAACGTTAAAAAAAATAAAAAATTTACATATTATAGTACATTTTAAGGCAAATGAGTTCTTCAAAAATTTTTTTTTTGATGTATCACTATTATCTCCTAAAATGCTTGGTTTCCTTTGCATAAAATGTTTGGCTTATTAATAATATTGAAATACAAAGAGAAAATTATTTTTTGGAGTTTTTGTATTAGTTATGAAATTTTATTATTTATAATTATATTACGTTTTGAAATTATTATAAAAACGTTAATTGTAAGATTGTTATGTAATAATATTGTATTGTTATATATTATAATTTATTCAAGTCTTTGTTTTCTAGTATACTAAAATGACCTACATTTTCTGAACTGCTCATACAATTTTTTAATTGCCGTCTATGGAATCTTCGGCACGTGATATACGCAAAGGTCACATTATATCATTTTAAGTTTCTTTACTTAATTTACTTTTAAATTAAAAAATATTTTATTATTACTATATATTTAAATTAGTCATAAAAGTAATTGTTTTATTTTAGATCCACATATATTACCTAATAAATTTGTAAATAGATGAAATAATTTAGTATACAATAACGAAACGCTTGAATTGACATTAACTTTCCAATGTTGTTTGTTAATTATTTTTCCTCGATATATTATTTATTAATTCACAAGTACCTATAATAGACCAACGTTGCTACTTATTTACTTTGTATTTGAATTTATCAAAATGAGAATGAAACATTTGAGCCATTATTTTTAAGTAAGTACTCCTAATACTATAAACTGTAATTTAGCTATTTCCAACAATACTAACTAAGGAAATAAAATGATCGCCAATATTTTATATAATAAATTTGTTCAAATTTAGCGCAATTTACTTATACAACCACTGGTAAAAATTTAGGTACTTAATGAATCTTTACATATAATAAAATAGTAACAAAGTAAAATCTTTACATTAAATAACTTGACAAACAAATGACTGTTTCGTATTATGCACAGAATATAGAATCCAAAAAAGTTATTAAGACTGTTTTATGTTTGCAAAAGATACTGAATGGAAGTTAACTAAATTTTGTATACCTAGCTGTAACTTATTACTCGGGTCAACATTTAGCATAATTTTACTGCAGGGAAATCTCACATTCTCACAAAAAAAAACACTAATTCGATCGAGATGTCCTTCATAAAAACACATAAAAAACGATTAACATAGTCAATAATCTAGTGCGGTAAAATTTCTAATTTTAATGGGAATAATATTTAGTTGGAGCGTAAGTCATCTATATTTATACATAGTATACAGCAAAGTCAAACATTCAGTGGAAAAATCTATCAAAAAATTATACGTAAAAAAAGGGTAGATTCGTTTTACTGGCAGCACCGTAACTGTCAATGTGACGGTGACTTCAAAACAGAATTTTTGACAACAAGTCTTAGTGAGTGCAAATGAGAAGCGATCTACGATTGGAATATCCTTATTGTTTATTAATGTTTCATCATATTAATGGCGAGAAAGTGTTATTTAATCTTTTTAGTGTTATATATTTAAGCTGATATAAATATTTGATGTACAATAGTGTAACAACATTTTTCAAATTGGACTGTGCTGTACATCTACAAATAATAACACCGCAGTGAGTACGTACCAATATCATTTAGCAATTATGAAGTAAGTTAACAAAATTGGATATAGTTGAATACTTGTGTACTGGAGTGGAACATCATTGTTATATTTCTTCGCCGCCTACAACTTTTCTAAGTAAAAGTAGGTGGGTAGAACTGTTTTATTCATTATCTTGTTGTTACATGTGTTTGTTCTAAATATAGCATTGAGAAGTTTACAGACTGTTAAACAGGTTGTAATCCAGTGTAAACAAAACTTTGCAAAAAAAATTAGGGTGCAAAAGAAAAAATAACACTAAGTATATAACTGGGTAACTTTTTGACCTAAATACCCTAATAAACTTAATTAGCGTTTAATTTAATAACTTTGCGTTTCAACACAGTTCTTGCTTATTCTATTATAAAGAATTTCTTTAAGAAAATAATATAAATAATTTTTTTTGTTGTGTATTCTAAACAATAATTTTTAGTGATTTTTGTGTAAGTAGAGTTTTTGTATAAGTATATATTCATTTGCACAATTTAATATTTGAAACATTCGACAATTATTATTTCATAAATAAAAGGAACTAAGGTTACTTTAAATTAATTAAAGTGAAAACTAAAAAATGCTCTCTTGAGTTAGTGACATTTATCATTCTTGGTCAGATTATAAAGAGAGAGATTAAAAAAAAATGTATGTAATAATACTTGATTTTTCTTAAGAATATTGACTTTATTTGTAAAACGAATAAAAAACAGATTTCGATTTAGCATTTTTATGTTTCTATGTACTATTTTTAGATGCTATCTTTTATGATTTATATTTTAAAATAATTAAACTATATTTTATATTTTGATAGAACCTGAAAAGATTTTGCTTTGTTTGAATATAGTAATCTCTGGATAACCAGTCACTATAAAAAAATTGTTTTATATTTTATAGCCTTCAAGTGGGCAAACAAAATGTGGAATAAAAAGTAGTCTATGTGTTATTCCAGACTATAATAAGCTATCTCTGTGCCAAATTTCATCCAGATCTGTTCAGCTGTTCTAGCGTGAAAGAGTAACAAACATTCGTAAATATTCACAAACTTTCACATTTATAATATTTACACAGATTATACAGACTAGTAGCCTACTAGGGTGTTAGCCTTGCTTCACTTGGGTGCTTCCTTTATAATATTACTAGCGACTCACCCTCGCTCCGCTCGGGTTCTTCCCTGGGGTGGGGTCTGGGTGGACCACCCTTATCCTTATCACTTAGGGGTATGAAAAATAGATAGTAGCCGATTCTCAGACCTACTGAATACGCATATAAAATTTGGTAAAAATTGGTAAAGCCGTTTCGGAGGTGTACAGTAACAAACATTGAGACATGGAAATTTTATATATAAGATATATACAGGTGGTGGCATTACTTTTTGAATTTTTTTATTACTAACATTAGTTTATATGTTACTTCAGTTCATATTTTAACTGTGTGTTAAATTTCAACAAAATCCATTAAGTCCTTTCAGTAAGAATTAACAAACTCATACAAACTGTTTATGTAAGTAGGTAATATGATTTATCGAGAAATGTTATTATTATATTACAATTTACATTAAAAGAAAATCACCTCCGGAGCACAGTAAGTAGATATAAATAAAATTAGCTGAGCCAGGCCTGGGATAAAAGCTTTTATAATATAAACAGAATGAAAATCAGGCTGAGTTTCTTTTCATTTTTGAGAATATAGCATTAAGTTACAATTGGCAAATGTGTAAGGTATTTCATTTGATTATAAATTTTTAATGTTGGCATTTGGAGTTATCACTTGTTTTTTCCAGTTTACTGAACTTCAGACTACAAATATATAAAATTCGACGACTTTCGACTAGACATACAAAAGTCTTTTCAAATGCAGATAAAACAGGTTTCATATATTCTAATAAGTAACACGATCAAGTCTATTAAAATATATTAGTGTAACATCATTATCATAATGTTCGTTAATAGAAACTGTAAATGAATCATGATATGGTATTTGGCTTATTATTAACTACGGGACTTTCCTTGTGCATAGCGTAAACTACATTGTATGTTGTTTGGACATTAACACACGTACATGTGTAATAATACGTATGTACTATGCACATATATACAATAAACATGTATGTTTTGGATGGGTATTGTTCATCAGAATTTGACTAGAAAATAACACTAGTTACCCGAAATTTAAAGAAACTGAATGTTAGTTCCACGAAAAAACCATAAATAGCGGGTGTTAAATTTGCTCGACTCTCGCTTATAGAGGTACAGGCAAGTAGCAGACAAAACGACTTTTTCTTATAGAGGTTTCTGATTCTTTGTTATAGAGGTTTTAGAAGGATAAAATGACAGGACCCGGTAATTACTCTCACTTATAGAGTTTTCTCCTTTACCCTTTTCTGCTTACCTGCTTACCCAGTTCTCACTTACTCAGGTTTGACTGTATATATAAAACAAAGTCGGGTTTGTTACAACACTTATAACTTGAGAACTGCTGGACCGATTTTTGTGATCTTTGTTTTGTTGGTTTTGTCTTCACCCCAATAGCAGAATATTAACTATTAAAACATCGGAAAAGAAAATTGAAAAAAATCTATTCATATTCCATACTAAGCGTCAAAACATACTCGTACCTAGGGACGAACCCGAGCGAAACGAGGGTGAATCGCTAGTTACTATATATTCTTGTATATAAATTACATATAAATTGATTTTGTATAGTATCGAAACAGGCTCTGACAATTTAGATCAACATTTGAATTTCGGTAAGGTTTTGCTTTAAGTTTTTCGTTACAGGTGTCTTTTCTGAAAAAAAAAACAGAAAAAAACTAATAATATTACTTTTTTATTGTTGTTCTTTTTGTGATAGCACAAGTAATACATCTTTACTTGAGTGGTTTGTATGAGTTTTGGATGGTAGGTTCGATTTGTGTATTAGTTTTTATTTATTTATTTAAGCAATAATTTTACCTTTATCTATGCTAGACTGGGTATTATTTATTATTGAGTAGATACATACTTATACATATACATACCTATAAAGTAATTCTTTCTACTCTGCTAATATTTTGAAACCAACAGACAGACATAAAAAATATCAATAATAAATCATCATATTATAAGAAGTTCTGCATATAATATTGGATGTATGAAACATTAAAAAAATTATAAAAATAAAATCTCGACTGCACAAAAGCTAACTGAAAAGATGAAAAGGAAAAAATATAATAAATGTTTTTTTATTTATAGCTTTTTAGTTTTTGCCAATTAGACATACTAATTAGCGCCTGAAATATGCTATTTTAATTTTTAACCATTTTTTATAGCCTATGATACTCGCGTTATCAAGACCGATCTAACGACATATGAATCATCAAAATCGGCCTACGCGTTTGGTCTTTAGAACGCCACATAGGAATAAACATACATACATACGTAGACTGATAAAAACATTACCCCGCTTTGCTTCGCGCAGTCAGGTAAAAAAATTATGAATAAATACAAATTCAACCAATAAAGTAAGCGAAACCGTAATTTCCACATAGTACCTACCTACGTAGTTTGTTTTATAAACATTTTATAACATATAAAACCGATATCCCCACATCAAGGACCGATCGTAAACAAGGCAGTAAATATAAACCTATCTGTTTACATTGTCCTAGGGTTATCTCGATACAACCTTGTCGATTGTGAGTTCCTTTAAGTTTTGATGTTAAATATCTCTTTAATTATAGCCTTGTTGCTTCGGAGAGATTCGAAGGGTACAATATTATGTAATGGTCGAAGCTTTTTCTTTACACTTTCATGCATATTATTATGTTTTTAGTACCGATATGAATGAAGATACTAGTTCTTTTAGTGTAGGTATTACTGATTGGAGTCATAGCGTCGCGTTATTTCTGTTAAAGGATAATGTCAAAATATATAGAAAAGTTCTATTTATTATTGTTTGTTCAAACAGAACTCCACTCCACTCTACTCCACGATAAAGTATAGACCATGTCATTTTCACCCATCGTTTACCTGCCACTAAAAGACCCATTAAAATCGGTTAAGCCCTTTCGGAGATTAGCGGGTGAATATCTATACTAATATTATAAAGAGGCAAAGTTTGTTTGTTTGAACGCGTTAATCTCAGAAATTACTAATCCGATTTGAAAAATTCTAGTTTAGATGGCGCGGCATTGGGTAACGTCATCCGACCATAGATATTAGTTAGTTCTTTGCTTTAATGGCTTTAATGCGTGCCAGTTGAGCCCATAGATATGATATGAGAGTGGACTGTTTCTTTACCAACTGTCAACTGAAAATGGCAGAAAAGTGACAGAGACAAAGCGAATGTGTGGCTAGAAGTCTTTTGTATTAATTGAAATATGATTAATGAAGATAGATATTTATAATCATTTAACATTTTCCGTTATAAAAAATAGTTGACATTCGTTAGTCTAGCTAAAACTCGAAAAACGGCTTGACCGATTTGAATAATTCTTTTTTTGTTTTGTTAGGAGTGTGACAGGACAGGGTGGTTTAAATTTACTAAAAAAATATAGGGAAAACCCAAAAAAACAGCTGGAAAATCTAAAAGTTCACAACTGTTTATTTTGTACCTATGTTTGTATATATACATATATAATATAGGTATAGTCTATCTATTCTATATTAAACGTTAAAACGTACATAGGAATGAAACCGAGCGATGCGAGGGTGAGTCGCTAGTAATATTGTAATTTTCAATCATATTATAATTTTTTTACATTGCATTTATAAATTCAAATTGGAATACGACACAGGTGATGTTCTCCTAGCCGATTCCGGCTACGGCGGCCAATCTCATTGAGATTAACCAACTGCGCAGGAGATATTATAGTGCTCAAGTGTACGCGCAGACACAAGTGCACTCTCTATTCCTATCACTCTCATACTCCGGTGGGACGACCACTCGACACGACCGGTGAGAGTTAAGGCGCAGGACCGACGGCTTTACGTGCTCTCCGAGGCAC